GCTCCCTGCTCTGCGGGAAGCTTGCTTATCCCTCTCCCTCTCCCCCTGCTTGTGTTCCCTCTCTCGCTGTGTCTCTCTCTGTCAAATACATAAAATCTTAAAAAAAAAAAAAAAAAAGAAAGTTACGGCCTCTTACAAAGGTCACAGGTAACAGGAGTGTCTGCCTGCTAATGCTAAATCCTCTACACACGGTACTGGATTGTTCACAACAATCAGTAGGTTCTGTTATCCCACTTGACAGTTGATAAAACAGGTTAGACACCTGAACTAGAATGCCTAAAGTCACACAGCTCATGAGTGGTAGAGCTTTTGTTTTGTTTTTAAACTGTCCATCTGGCTCCAAAGCCATCATTAGCTCTTTTTGCCTGACACTAGGTGGCTGGGGAGTGAGTGGGACCCACTTTTATCTGTGGCCATGTGGGTCTCACTACTGTTTTCCTTGGCCCCTGCCTCCACCCGAGGTTGGGAGCAGATGGGCCCCAGATAGCTTGAATTCAGTTTCACTGTATTGCACAGGCCCCAGGGCCTTCCCCTGTTGTCTCCTGCTTCCAAGGTTGCCAATGGTTGTCCAGACTAATAACACCTCAGCAAGGAGATCTGACAGCAGCCCAGATCTTGCTAAGCTGACCTCAGACTCAGGACCTTGGAGGAGCCCCCACCCCTTCCCTTTATGCAGAGGTGGGCCGACACTCCAGTGTTCAAGCACAGTACTAAAAACTACTCCGAATGTCATTCTGAATATAACTGGAAGAGACTCAGCAGGGTCATAGTCTCCTTAGGTGGTGTTGCCATGACAACCCAGCCACATCCATCTGGCTTTCCCAGCTCTGGCCTGGGAGGATCTTCTTTTCTAGAGGCAGCAGCATCTAGCCCTGAGAGGGAAGAAAGGCGAGTATGTGTACATTCACGCTCCCCCGCGGAATACTCCTTTCTATAATGAATAGCCCATTGCAAACTACCTCATCTTGGATGAACATAAAGGAATGAATTCACTGTCTGCCTCTTGTTGTGTGAAAGAAGGTTCAACCACAACTCTGCCAAGGGCTTTCACGGACATTATCTCATTTAATCTACAGAATCCCGTGAGGTGGGTATTATTACCTCATTTTGTAGTTGGGTGAAAATGTGGTTGGGTAACTTGCTCCAAACCGGTGGCAGAATTTGAACCCAGGTTGGTGACTCCAAATACTGTCCTCAACTCACTAAATCCACTTGGTTCTGAATTGAGAACTGCCCAAGTTCGGGAAAGTGTGTGCACGTAAAATGGTCAAGGAAGTCTGCGAGGCAGGTGAGGGGTTATATTTCGCTTACTGAACAGGAATGAGAAAGATAGGAGGTAGGGTGTCAGAATGAGCAGGGCCCTGGAGTCTGCAGCTTGCACGTGAGTTTGGGCCAGTGGGAAGACCCTTCTGTCCGAAGAGAATACCCACTAGGAGCTCCATCCATCCGGCGGAAAAGAGAAGTGCAGGTGATGCTGGAGAGGTAAGCTGAGCCCCAACAAGCGGGCAAAGAAAACTTTGATTAGACATCAAAGTTCAAAGTTTCGCTGCAGGGGCGCCTGGGTGGCTCAGATGGTTAAGCGTCTGCCTTCCGCTCAGGTTATGATCCCAGGGTCCTGGAATCGAGTCCCGCATCGGGCTCCCTGCTCAGCGGGGAGCCTGCTTCTCCCTCTGCCTCTCTCTCTCTCTCTCTCTCTCTCTCTGTCTCTACTGAATAGATAAATAAAGTGTTTAAAAAAAATAAAAATAAAAAATAAAGCTTCGCTGCAGTCGCGTAAACGCAAATGCCCTGAAACTCAGGAGCAGACAAGACCAAGGGAATAGGGACGCTTTCTTTGACAATACGCTTTTCAAACAGACGCCAAACCATAGGTACCTACTCGCAAAACTCTCAAGAGCTGTTGCTTTAAGAAGCCCGACTCCTCGGCGTCACGTGACCCACATTGCGCCCAGATGCTTTTCAGCTCCTTCACAGAGGCCAATCGCTTGGCCGGAAGCCCCCGGGAGGGCGGGAACTTCGCAAAGCGCTCGCCGATTGGCTGTGCTCTTGGAGGGTGGGGCCTGGGCTCAGAGAGAGGGAATTAGGGTGAGCAGGGTAAGTGGGAGCTGCAGCCGCCGCCGCCGCCTCCACCGCCGTCTCGGTAGCCGCTTTCGCTGCGCCGGAGCCCTCAGGTGAGCAGGCCCGAGCAGGCCCGAGGACGCTCCATCCCGCTGTGGGCCGCGCACTCACTGGTCTTAGGGCCGACTCCGCTGGGGGCCCGCCCCCTTCGCTGACCACGTGACCCAAGTTCGGTAACCCCTGACCTCCTCCACCCCACCCCGCCACTTCTGGATCTGGGATGAAGCGAGGCGTGGTGGGAGGATGCGCACCCCCGAGGCCGGTGGCGGCCAGTTCCCACGCTCTTTACCAGTGTGGCTAGTGGCTGAGGGTGCAGGGAGGAGGTTGAGGAGGGGGAGACCTTGGTCAGAGCCTGGACTTTGTGGGTCTTCATGTGGGCACACAGTAAGGAAACTCCGTCCGCGCTTTCCGCGTGGGCAGGACTTCATGCTCCCATTTTACAGACGGGGAAACAGAAACTTCAGAATTATCCATTGGCGGGTCTCCAACGCCAAGAATCCGGGCTGCGAATCCAGGCCGTGTTCCCCACACAGCCCGCCACTCCTGATGATCAGGAACCAGAGTTGAGCCCTTGCTCCCTACTTAGTGCTCGCTGGGTGATCTTGGACAAGTCACTGAACGTTTAACCTCTCTGAGCTTTGATTTCCTTGGCTGTGAAATAGACGCAGTACTTACATAATACCTATCTTATTGTTAATGAGGATAGAATGAAGTATAAGCCGTATAAAGCACTTAGCTCTGTGCCTCAGGCGTTGCATGTGCTTAGAAAAAAATAGCTATTCTTTATTCGTTTTTGCAGCAAGTGTTCATTGAGGGCGTATTATGTGCTGACACTGTGCCCGACGCTGGGGATGCAAAGGTGAGCAAACAGGCATGATCCTAGCTGGTGTGGAGCTTACAATCTAGTGGGGAGGTAGGTGTTAATCACAAAGTTACACAGATATATAATTACAAGCTGTGATAATTGCTTTGAAGGCAAAGTACCGGTACACTGTGGTGGAGGTCTGAGAAGACTTCCCTGAGCAAGTGACATTTGAACTGAGATCTGAAGGAGCCGCTAGGAGTCCATTAGACAAAGAGCTTGGGGGTAGAGGAAGAGGAGAGTGTTTCAAGTAGAGCAAACAGTGTATGAACGTCCTGATAGCAGGTGTTTTGGGGGAAATGGAAAGAGGCCATGGTGGGAATGCAGAACACAAGAGGGAAAGAGGTGTTGCGGAAGTCAGTGGACACGCACGACCTGGGAACCAGGTTTGTTCTTTATTCCAGAGCCATGTGGAGCCACTGGGAGGAATGCGGGAGGCCAGGTTAGGATGCCCGTTGGATCTAGGGACCCTGAGATCACTGGTGACCCAGTGAGCCCCGCCAGAGAGGAGTAGTGGGGCAGACCCTGGGTGGGTCACCCTGGAACTGGGGCCTTGCTGCCCGTGGTGCTGATGCCTCAGTTTGGCCCTTGTGGGCCTGCCTTCTAATTGTGGTGTAAGTTGTTGGAGTCCTTCATCAGCCTCTGTTTTTGTTGGATTCTTGTTCTGCTATATCCTGTGAACGGAAGAGCAGGTTCCTGCTTTTAGGCCTCGCAGCCAAACTGGGAAAGACGGGACACATGGGCAGAAAGCCCAGCTACTAAAAGCCTGACAGTCCCCAGTGGCATACGGGCAGGAAGACCGTACAGGGCAGCCTGGATTTGCCTTAGCAAAGAGGAGGGGGTGGGGGCTTGGGGTAGAGGGGGAGGCCGACCAGCCTGAGTGCTGGTGGTGGTGCACAAGGCAGGCTGGAAGACACTAGGCTGGTCTTACTGGGAGGAGGGATCGGCTTGAACAGCTCTGGGGATTTGGGACCAAACACAGAATGTCAAGCTGGGGGGTTTAGAGTTTCTTTTAGAACCAGTGGGTAGGACTGAAGGTTTTTGAGCAAGGGAGAAGTACTGTTTTCATCAAGATTTAATAGGTAGTGGTTGTAGCAAGAATCAGGAGGAAGAAGACACGAAGTTTTTACTTGTAACTGACCATGGTTCCATCTTCCATCGTCCATTTGGGTGGCGTTCTAGTCCCTGGCTTTCTCCTGCCCCAGCTCATTTTGTCCTCACAGCAACCCTGCGAGTTACGGAGGGCAGGGGCGATTGCCTGTGTTTCACAGGTTGGGACACCAGGGCTCAGGCTGACGAGGACCTCGGCCACATTCACTCAGGAAGTGGTAGGGCACGGCTGGGGCCCCGTTCTGTGAACTCCCCAAGGCCAGGTCCTTTCTCAGGCAGCACTCCTGTCTGACCCAGCTCGTCTGTTTCTTGCGCTTCGCCTCAGACACTCAGAGCCTCTGCGGCTCGTTGTTCGGGGATTCTGGAGCAAGAGCAGCGAGCCTGGCTCAGAAGGCCTTGAGTCAGGCTCCTGGGCTCGGAGGGGGCCTGGGGGGGCCTCTCAAACCTTCTCTCCTGGCTCCCAGCTCCGTCGGGGCCATGTCCGAGCGAGAGGAGCGGCGGTTCGTGGAGATCCCTCGGGAGTCGGTCCGGCTCATGGCGGAGAGCACGGGCCTGGAGCTGAGCGATGAGGTGGCGGCCCTGCTCGCGGAGGATGTGTGCTACCGGCTCAGAGAGGCCACCCAGGTCCGCTCCCCTTCGCTCCCGGCACCCTCCCAACTCTCCTTGTCCCTCCCGGTGGCTACCCCCTCCCGCAGGGATGTATTAAACAGGTATGTGGCCCGCCCCTACTCTGTGCTTTGAGGGAACGCAGCGGAGGCAGTCCCTGCCCTCTCGAGTTCCCCTTTGAGCCAGCGGGGCTTCTGGGCAAACAGAGTGCTGGCTGAGCATTGCCTCACGTGCCCATCTTGTGAACAGCCCTGCCGGGCAGGCCAGGCCCCATTCATATTCACATTCTGCATGTGAGCAGCTGGGTCACAGAGAGGGAACATTACATCGAGGGCTGTTTGCACAAGACCAGCGCTGGATTCCAGGCTTTCTGGTCTCCGTTCTGGTGTCCTTTTTGCCTCCTGGCTGTCTCTCTTCCCTGGGGGAACTCCACAGCCCCTTCTTCCTGTCCGCTGACTTTGTTTCTCCCCTCCCAGAATAGCTCTCAATTCATGAAACACACAAAACGGCGGAAGCTGACCGTCGAGGATTTCAACAGGGCTCTCCGATGGAGCAGCGTGGAGGTGAGTGGAGCACAGCCTTCGGAGGCCTCGGCTGGCACGATCTGCCTCCGTGCCCGGCTTGGGGCTGGCACCGCAGAGAGAGACATGAAGACCAAATACGCACATAAGGTGGCCGTGGCCACCACAGGACAGGTGCTGGGGGGCCCGGAGGTTAGGGAAGCCTTCTTGGAAGAGCTGGGATTTGAGGCAGGCTTTGAAGGGAGGCTTGCATTAGACTAAGCCAAGAGGGGAAGCGGGGGGACATTCTGGGTAAAGGAGGAGGCTGGGCACAAATGTGGGTATTAAAATGTCCTGCATAGTTGTTGTGGGGCAGGGACTTGAGGGAAGAAGGTCATGTTTAGAAGAGAGTAGTGTTGGGGCACCTGGTTGGCTCACTCAGTACAGCACGTGACTCCTAATCTCAGGGTTGTGAGTTTGAGCCCCGTGTTGGGCATGAAGCCTACTTAAAAAAAAGAAAAAAGAGAGTTGTGTTTTCAAAGTAGGGTGAGTATGAGGACCGGCAGCATAGGGGTGTGGGGCTCAGCCTGTACGAGTCAGGGAGGAGGGACCACGTTCTACTCCCTGACCCAGTGCGCGCTGGATGCTCCAGCCAGATTCCCAGCCGTAGGCTCGAAGCCTCCCACATCTCCCCATTCTCGGGACTTTTGGACTTGCCTCACACGTAGACCCCCTGCCCCTGGTCGGTAGAACGCCTCTCCCGCCGTGGATTCAGCATGCTCTCTGCTCCTCTCTGCTCAGGCCGTGTGTGGTTATGGATCCCAGGAGGCGCTGCCCCTACGCCCTGCCAGAGAGGGTGAGCTTTACTTCCCTGAGGACCGAGAGGTGAACCTGGTGGAGCTGGCCCTGGCCACCAACATCCCTAAAGGCTGTGCCGAGACAGCTGTGAGAGGTAGGGCCAGGGACACAAATGGGCTTGTCAGAGGAGGGGTGACGGGCGGGCTGGTGGATGGAGCAGGACTCGGGGGGGGGGGGGGGTGTTGCTACCACAGGCAAAACCCCAGGCTGACCCATCCCTCTGCTCTGGTTCTAGTTCATGTCTCCTACCTAGATGGCAAAGGGAACCTGGCCCCACAAGGATCAGGTAAGGGGCAGTATGGGGAACGGGCTCTGAACTTTCCCCTTGGGAATGGTGGGGGTGCCCCTGTACCTCTGATTCTTCATCTGACAAGTATTTACCGATGCCCGGTTCTGAGTGGGCACCGTCCCTGCCCAGAGGGCTCGGACTTGGAGGTAGGAGCCCAGACCTGGAACCAGTCATGATGCGGGGCGTTGGATGCTAGCACAGAAGTCTGGGCAGCTGGGGTCCCTGGGATTGAGGACGAGCAGGAATCTGCCTAGCGGAGGACGGGTGGGAGGCAGAATACAGAGCACGGAGGTGTGAAAAGCCTACAAGGTCAGGGCCGAGCAGGCTGCTCCGAGGAGCTGGTGACTATGTGCTCTGGGAGTCCTGTCTGAAAAGGCTTCTGGTGGGGAGGGTGGAGGGTCGGGGGGTGAGGGAGAGCAGGCCGGGGAGGCCGGGAGAGGGCTGGGCTCTCCACCCTGACTACCTCCTGCCCATCCCCGCACAGTGCCCAGCGCTGTGTCTTCGCTGACTGATGACCTTCTCAAGTACTACCAGCAAGTGACCCGGGCTGTGCTGGGGGACGACCCACAGCTGATGAAGGTGAGCCAGTGGGGCACAAAGTCCAGCTTTCAAGTTCCCCGAAACTCTTTCAGATGCCTGCTTCCTGTCCACTCCACACCACCCGACTGATGCGGCTGGAAGCTGCTGCCAGTGGGAATGTTGTGCTCGGAGGCTGGCCCTCCTCCGGGGCTGACTCCTCTTCCCACTCTAGTAGGAACCTCATTCTCCGGGGAACGGGCAACTCAGCAGGGCCATTTTGGGGGCTCATGTGGTCAGTACCCCCCCTTTAATTCCAGAGTCTACTCTTCAGCGTGTATATTAACCTGTGGCCACGGGGGTGGGTGGGGGGCAGCCACCTGGCAGCTTGCATTTGCCTGGACGTGAGAGGGAGAGAAAGGAAGTAGAGGCAGCCAGGTCAGGGTGCCTGGCCGCCCGGGTCTGAGACTCCGCCACATTAGCCTCTGGGACTCCGCGGGGCCTGCGGGATGCGACCTGTCCAGAATGAGGGCAGCGCTGATTTGCGGTCTGCTCAAGCATGAGGTCTCTCCTGGAGGGCTTACCTTCTCCACTCCTCCACGTGTCTGGCTGTCGCCGCCACTCTCCCGGCAAAACTGGGAATGTCCCTCCCGTACAGGCCTGCCTTAGGAGCATGGCTCCGGTCCCCAGGCGCAGGGCAGATGGCTGGATGCAGGGCCTGGGAGCTGAGCTCCTTCCTCGCCAGCCTGTTGTCTGCAGCACCTGAGCACAGGAGCTTTATCCAGAGGAGTTTGGAGGTCACAGCAGAGATTCAGGGCTAAGAGGGTTTTTCTCATTCACTTAACTCTCTTTTTTTCTGCTTATAAAAGTAATACCAGCATGTTCATTATAGAAGGATTGTAAAGTAAAAACATACAAGCTGGAAAGTGAGTCTCCAATGGAAACAACTTACCTTTTTTTTTTTTTTTTAATGTTTTAACTGTGATTACTCTAGAATAAAGCAAAGTGGTATTACAGTAAACATCTGGTTTTAGAACAGCTGCTTCTCTCAGTTAAAAACGTGTGGGGCATCTAGGGTGTATTCAGTTTCGTGTTGCCACAGACAGGGCTAGGAGTGGGTGTGTGTGTGAGTGGGTATTTCTTACAGTGGGTTAAATTTATAGAAGTACAGTTGCTGAATCAAAGAGTGTGAACGTGTACAATTTTACTACAGAAGTACTCAGGCATCCTTTAAAAAATGTCCGTTTATCCTTGGGGCTGGTGGACCCAGTGCAGTCTGGCTCCTTCCTTTTCAGATTGCTCTCCAGGACCTGCAGACTAACTCCAAGATCGCAGCACTGCTGCCTTACTTTGTCTATGTGGTCAGTGGGGTGAGTGACCAGGCTGGGGCAGGGGAGAAGGTTCTGCGGGGACACGACCCAGCACGGGGGAGGGCTGGTGGCAGGAGCTAGCAGAGCGGCAGGCTCCTGCCTGCCCCCTCGTGTGCCCCTCAGCCAGCGCCCGCTGCAAACAGGTGAAGTCTGTCAGCCACGACCTGGAGCAGCTCCATCGGCTCTTGCAAGTGGCCCGGAGCCTGGTTCGGAACCCACACCTGTGCCTGGGGCCCTACGTCCGCTCCCTGGTCGGCAGCGTCCTCTACTGCGTCCTGGAGCCCCTGGCTGCCTCCATCAACCCTCTGAATGACCACTGGACTCTTCGGGATGGCGCTGCCCTCCTGCTCAGCCACATCTTCTGGTAGCCACTGGGCCTAGCCCAGCAGAGGGTGGGGCTGCCACAGCGCGGAGGGGCTTGTGGTCCGGGGCGGGGGGTAGTGTTTGGCTGCGAGGCCCTGTGTTGCGAGGTCAGGGAGCCTCTTTCCATTTAGAGCTTCCCGGTCGCTGCGCTGTGGCGCCCCGGGATTTTATAAATGGATGGCGCAACCCTGTTGGCTTACCCCAGGGCGCCAAAGACTGCCGCGTGCTCTGCGTGCTCTGCCTTGAGTCAGATCGGGCGGCCCCGTGCTTCATTCTCCTCCCTGACTGAATGCTGCTCCCGTAGGACCCATGGGGACCTTGTGAGCGGCCTGTATCAGCAGATCCTGCTCTCCCTGCAGAAGGTCTTGGCAGACCCTGTGCGGCCTCTCTGCTCTCACTACGGGGCTGTTGTGGGGCTGCACGCCCTGGGCTGGAAGGTGAGGACCCTGGCCTGGCCCACAGACAGCCATAGGAGCTGCCATTTGTAATTCGAAAAACAGTATTTGTGTGTCTTTTCTCACAAAAATGGTCGGTGCTTGCTGCTGCCGTGTATACGGTTCTTGCCTGAGGCCAGGCTACTTGATGGCTTTGCTTTCTGTGTATCAATGTCTTATCCTTTCAAAAATTAAGGTACTAATATATCCCCACTTCAAAAATTCCTGCCCATACTATGTTAGTCATGTTAAGGAACTATCCCTCAATTCCTCTTGTATTATTTTTTTTAAGCTTATTTATTTTTAGTAATCTTTATATCCACCATGGGGCTCGAATTCACGACCCTAAGATCAAGAGTTGCATACCCTACCCACTGAGCCAGCCAGGTGCCTCATTCTTTTGGGCTTTTTTTTTTTTTTTTAAAGATTTTATTTATTTATTTGGCAGAGAGAGAGAGACAGAGAGAGAGGGAACACAAGCAGGGGGAGTGGGAGAGGGAGAAGCAGGCTTCCCGCCGAGCAGGGAGCCCGATGCGGGGCTCGATCCCAGGACCCCGGGATCATGACCTGAGCCGAAGGCAGACGCTTAACGACTGAGCCACCCAGGCACCCCTCTTTTGGGCTTTTAATGTAGATCATATGGTACAAATAATGATGGCTTTATTTCATCTTTTCTAAACCTAATGCCTTTAATTTCTTTTTATTTTATTGCTAGGATTGCTAATATCACTTTACATATGATGATAAGGGGCATCCTTATGTCATTTCTAATAAGAGAAGTGCTAATAACGTTCCCACTTATACTGATGTTTCCCTTGTGTTTGATATCCTTTCTCAGATTAAGATTACTTCATACTGTTTTATACTCTTGGTTTTATTATTTATGTTGAATTTTTATCAAATGCTTTTTCTGTAGCTTTTGAATTGATCCTAAGGTTTTTCTGCTTTTATCTGTTAATGTGATTAATTGTATTTATGGATTTTTAAGAAGATTTTATTTATTTAGAGACAGCATTTTCACACTTGAGAGCGGGGCAGAGGGAGGGGATGGGAGAGGGATAAGCACTCAAGCAGACTGTGCATTGCATGACCCCAAGATCACCACCTGAGCCAAGTGGAAACCAAGAGCCCAACTGACTGAGCCACCTAGGTGCCCGTATTTATGGATTTTTAATAGTAAACCATCATTAC